CTTTTATGTGTTAGTTACACTCTACTATCTGGAATCGCCCTTGCACCCCGATCCTCATATGCAATGTTGCTACAGACCAAGGACACCAGCCCTCTACTACGACCTCCTTTCTCACCATCGACGATAATTCGCCTTTCGGATACGTGGTTTGAAGACCAAATTTTTCAGAATATCATATTTTCCGACGTGCAACGTTGAGGTTGCGGGCAGAAGACGCGATGGACGTAATGCGGGCTGAACTCGACCGCACATCCGGCATATATAGTCACTGGAATTGGTAGGCTGGCGCGTCAGCTGGCCTGAATTAGTTCGGGAGTCATTTTTGGCATCTCGAACCCGCAGCATGAATTAGTTATCGGTGATGCCGTGACAAGTTTTAATGTGTCCATAAAACGGGTCCCCTGGCGGATGTGTTGGACTAACACGTGGCCGGATCCGAGTGCGGCAGGCGTTATCGGAAATACGCACCGATAAAATAATGTCAAACCTGGAGTTTAGTGACACTCCTACGTGTACGCTCAAGCCGCGCCCATTGGGTACCGTGCCGACCACCCTATTTTTCTTGTTGCATAAAATCCTAGTCATTTGTGGACCAGGGTCTGTGGTGGTTTGCCTAAATGCGATTCTTCCCCTTGCCAGCCACCTGTACCCTCTCCCACCTCTGTTATTCTTAACTCTGTCCTGACACCAGATCGTGGTGGGCTAGGAGGAAAGGTTGAGGTAGATGCTGCGAAAGTCCGTAACCACTGTAAAAGAAGTCACGCCTGAGTCACTGTCCCTGCCCCCACCTAACTCTGGAGCATACGGTGGACATTGCCGGCGACGACGGTCGAACTGTCTGCCAGAGCAATATCATACTCTCTCCTTCTTACTTTAGAGTATAAGTATTCCTCTAGCTCCCGTCACAAGGAAACTCGATAATTTAACTTTCATGCGTACTCTGTGGTTAAACTTCAACAACCAACCACTTCCCTAAAGAATTTAGGTCAGATTTTCTCTTTCTGC